GATGTGGGGTTGGAAGGGACCATCTGGAGATGATCGTCGTTGAAAGGCGTTGATGCCTTTCACTATTTAGACCTGTATTTTAGAGCCTCAGTTCCCCATCTGGGAAATGGAAATGATATTATCTCTTGTTTACATAAGAATATAAATTAAAGGCGGTGAAGCACTCGGGTTTTTATCTAGACACACACTCCTACAGTAATTAATTGAAATAATTGTGTACATAACTCTCTAACTAGCCGTACTTTGGTTAATCTGGAGCTATTTGGACTCTCCTGCCACCATGGTCCGTTAAGTAATGACTTGGATCTCAGTAGACAATTGGAATGCCAAGCCCACGCCGATCCTTATCTCCTGCAGCTGGGGTTGGAGAGCAGAGTCATCCTTGTTGAAGCCTGACTTCTTAAATCAAACTTCTAGACCTTAAAACCCATGTTTGTTCTCCCTTGGGCTGATGGTGCTGGATGTTGGGCGGCAGAGACACCTCCATTTTGGTATCTCCACAGGGTTTCCATGGTGGGTGACTGTTGGGCTTCTACAGAACTAACACCTGAGACCCGAGAAAAGAGAATATGGCAAATTCGAGTTGTAGAAGTTTATTTCCAAGGATGGATAATTTCCAAGGATTTCCAGTTATTTTTTAATGTCTTATTTTTTGACGGAGAAGTTTAGGATGTGGTTGATTGCATGATGGCAGCCTTCCAGTATCCTACAAGGAAGCTGGAGAGGGACTTTTTACAAAGGCATGTGGTGACAGGATGAGAGGGAATGGCTTCAAACTGGGAGAGGGGAGAGTTAGAGAAGATCTCAAGAAGAACTTGTTTGGTGTGAGGGTGGTGAGAGCCTGGCCCAGGTTGGCCAGAGAAGCTGTGGCTGCCCCATCCCTGGAGGGGTTCAAGGCCAGGTTGGAGGGGGCTTGGAGCAACCTGGGCTGGTGGGAGGTGTCCCTGATCATGGCAGGGGGTTGGAACTGGATGATCTTTAAGATCCTTCCAACTCAACCCATTTTATGATTCTTTGATATCTAAGTGACCTGGGAAACTCTGGGTGAAGTTTGATGGGATGTAAATATTTCCTTCCAACTCAACCCATTCTATGATTCTTTGATATATATGACCTGGGATACTCTAGGTGAAGTTTGATGGGATGTAAATACACTCTGTGTAGTCAGAATATTGTGTGTGGTTTGTATTTAAAAAATAATTTAAGAAAAGGAGAGATCCTGCCTTGTTTGTAGCACTCATGAGCTCTTAATTGATTAATCCCATCTGAGGTGTGGTTTGTATTTAAAAAATAATTTAAGATAAAGAGAGATCGAGCTCTTAATTGATTAATCCCATCTGAATATCAATCCAATTTAACATGTAATCACCTAATGTTGGTAATCCCCATGGGTTCCCCACCAGGTGAAGGCAAGAGGGGATTCCTCTCTACTGGTCTGGAGGGAAGCCCCACTCCTGTATTTCCAGTATCAGACAGAAGTTTGAGGAGCAGTTGAATTTTTCCCCTGTTAGAAATAGCTAATAGTAAATAGACCTATAATTATTTAACGTGTCATCTTCTGGCCTCATCTGCTCTTGAAACACCAGGTTTCCATCCTTGGCTTCTTGGACGAGGAGGCACCTTCCTCTCCTTCACTTGGCACCGAGGTGCCCTCCGTGGCAATTCCATCTCTATAAACCTTAATTGCCCACATTTCATATATTAAAAAAAAAAATGCAAAGGCATAAAATCTCATATTAATATTCATTTTATTGGAATATTAAAATCCTTCTGGTTGGGCTGGCACTGGTACCTTATACTACCAATACTTTTTAAAATATTGCTAAATCCACATTGGTAACTTGTTTTATTCCCCAATTAGTTCCTTCTAAATCAAAAATCTGAGCACCCAGCTCCTGGAAGCTGTATTTTTTCCTCTCCCTTAAGATGGGGTTTGCAACAAGAAGGGGAAGAGGTTTTTTAGCTCCTGTTTTTTTGGGAAGGAACCCGAGCTTCACGTCTCTTCTTGGATGATTTGGTGGAACCTGTCGGTCTCATTCCGATGCTCCTGCTGAATATAGAGAGTAACTAAAGTATAGCACTTTTTTGGAAACCAGCCCGTGGACAAGAGAATTAGACAGCAGTTTCTAAAATATTTACATTTCCAAATTCACTCACCCGTGCCCGCTCCCTTTCCTATTTTCCCAAGGAAGCAGAAGGAAATCACTCTTTTTCATTACCTTGCTTTCTTGCCCTTCAGCTATTATGTGAATTGAATGTGGGGGAAAAAAAAAATAAAAAACTAAGAAAAAGGTCTTGTCTTGGTGTTAAGTAACCTTGCAGCCTTTAATTTGAAACAAACAAAGCATTTAAAGCTTTTCTTCTCCGGGGGATTGTACTGAGCGCTGCTAAATTGCTGAATATTTAATAGCTAAACGTGTTGCAGACCCTGAGGTCTGTCCCCCAAATGATAAGCTCTTTTTTTTTTGATTAAGTGAACTTTAATTGCTTAATAATTGGGTCTTCTGGAAGGAGAGATGGGCATCCTGATAGGCTACGTGGTAAATCGGTGTCGGGGACGGCTTCCAATTAAGTTTCCTAACGAGGTTTTTGGGTTTAATGCAGGGGAGGGGGTGTCTTGCACCCCCTTTTTAGCCATCGCCGTGGATCTGCAATGTTTAATTCCAGAGTCTCCTCTTGGAAAGTCACTTTCTCAGAATGTATTTGGTGGTCTGTTCCCTCAAGCTGGGTCCTGACAACCCAAACATCTGCGTGTAGCTTCCAAAAAACATATTTAAAATACATGGGCGTAAGCCAAGAGACCCATAAAGCCCCAGTGGTATTTTTAAAATCTCAAATATATTATGGTCTTGAGGACAAATGGATGAGTTTTGAAGGTAACCATGGGAAAAGGTGGGTAGTGTCTTTTCCTTGGGAGCACAACAAAAGGGTTTTTGGAACATCCCGATCTGTTATGTATAGATTTTATGACCTTTTTTTTTAAGCTTTCAAAGAAAAAGGGTTGGGAGATCCACAGGAAGAGAGATGGGGCAGGGGGATGTCGAGAGAAATAAGAAGTCGTGCCGTGAATCTACATTAGGATTAGGTCACAGAATCACAGGATGATATGGAAGGAACCTCTGGAGAACATCTAGTCCAACCCCCCTGCCAAAGCAGGGCCACCCAGAGCAGGTCCCGCAGGAACGTGTCCAGGTGGGGTTGGAATTTCTCCAGAGAAGGAGACTCCACCACCTCTCTGGGCAGCCTCTGCCAGGGCTCTGCCACCCTCCAAGTCAAGAAGTTCCTCCTCCTGTTGAGATGGAACTTCTTTTATTCAAGTTTGTGCCCATTTCCTCTTGTCCTGTCCCTGGGCACCACCAAGAAAGACCAGCCCCATCCTCCTGACACCCACCCTTCAAGTCTTTATTGATGTTGATCAGATCCCCCCTCAGTCTTCTCTTCTCCAGACTTAAAGACCCAAGAAGTCCCTCAGCCTTTCTTCATCAGAGAGATGCTCCAGGCCCCTCCTCATCTTTGTAGCCCTCTGCTGTCCCCTCTCCAGCAGTTCCCTGTCCTTCTGGAACTGGGGAGCCCAGAACTGGTCCCAGAGCTCCAGCTGGGTACTGTGCTCATGGTCAGTCTGCACTAGAACTAATACTTATCACTATTTTCCTTGCCTAAGGAGGAAGCTGTTGGGATTATTACATGGATTTTCGAGGAAGAAAAGCAAAGTCCCTTTATGGCAATTTGTTTTAGTCCTGGATTTTACAGTAAAATGTCAGATTTAGCTCTTTTTCCTCCTGGAAAAGTCTGTAGTTTTCAACAGCTTTCCATCACGGTTCGCACTGCGTTTATCTTCAATTAAATATATATATTTCTTTTTTTTTTTAATTGAAGTGTTGAAGGCTTCTCTTTTCTAGCCTGCACCAGCTTTGCTGGGGGTGAAAAAGCTGTTCCTTGGGCGTCTGTGCCAGTAGCTTGGCTGGAAAGTAGCATCCTCCCTGGGTGGAGGGTGTTGGGAAGGACCACCTTTTCTTCACTCCAGGGATGATGGATGAAGACAATAATTAGGAAACACCCCATCCCACACAACATCGGCTCTTTTCACGGGTGGAAATGCCTTTAGGAAGCCTTTGCTGGGCTGGTTTGTCTTGCTAAAGAGTTTCCCTGCTTCAACTCGTGGGTTGGGAGAGACCTCATCCTTGGAGATGCTCCAGGAGACGGGAGCAAGGTGTTGGAGGAGAAGAGAGACAAGAGATTGGGGGGCCAAAATCACACCAGAAAATAGGTGCTTGATCCAGGGAATGAATGTGGGGCTCCCACTCAAGTGTCTTGTCCAATACACGAGCATTCCCCAATACTCTGAATATTTGGGTGGCATTTTAGTGTCTGGAAAGTTGAGGGCTTTATTCTTGGCTTCCTCAGCTCATTAATAGCCCCTACTGAGAGGTCCTTCTTGAAAGCCTGGCTGATGTAATGTAGAAGGTGCTTGGTTCCTACATAATTTTGGTGGCTTTCAGTGTCTTCTTGTAAGTTTTTCACTCTGTCACCACTTGGTGAATGTTTGCACACCCTTCTGAGTGATGGTATTTACTGGTAAGGTGAACGTAGGGGCCGGTGGGGTTGTTTCTAGGGGACTGGCCAGGACTAGAGCCAGAGAAGGTCCCCAAAATACGTCTGTACCATCTCAAGGAGTTGCTTCAGCCTGTCTTCTTGATTTGTCCTTCTCATGCTTGCCTGGAAATAGGGCTGATTTTTTTCCTTTCCTCTTCTTTGATAAAGTCTGCAATCTGGACATCATCTTTCACTTGTACTTTGAATTTTGCAGACCATGTCCTGTCCTGACCAGGTGTTTCTCCTGTCTCTCAGGAAGGACGTGGTCCTTGTGTTTCGATTTATTAATTTATTTACTTATTTCCTCAGGATTGTTAACAAATTCCAAATCAGCATGGAAACAGTGTCCAAATTCAATTTTCAGCAACTCTATAATTGTTTTTTTTATTATTTGCTTGTTTTTGCAGGTCCACTGAGGTTTCTTTCCCAGACAGACTCTGTCACGGCCTTTGCCGGAGACACGATCCTGCTCAAGTGTGAAGTTGTTGGGGAGCCCATGCCCGTGGTCCACTGGCAACGAAACCAGGAGGACTTGTCCCCCAGCCCCGGTGACCCGCGGGTGGCCGTCCTGCCCTCCGGAGCTCTACAGATCAGCAGGGTTCAACACGGGGACAGCGGGATCTACAGGTGCCTGGCGAAAAATCCAGCCAGTTCGAGAACTGGGAACGATGCCGAAGTCAGAGTGTTGGCAGGTAAGATCTCTAGATCCTTCTACACCACCTTTCTGTCACGTCTGGTCACGTCCTTTGGTCCTCTGAAGAGCAGTCACTCCTCCTGGGGCAGCTAGGTTGATCTATCCCACTTCCTTTCCTGTTATTTCTACAAGCTTCCAAGTTCTTCTTCACGTGGAAGAACCTGGAGACCTTTAGAAGAAGTTGGATGGAAAGGTGAGGAGTTGACACCGTAGGAAGTTATTCATGCTGCCTAACTTCAAGTCCCAAATTTAGATCTGTAGGTAGGAAGCTGGTGTCTTCTACACAGTCAACGGGGAGTAGTCACTCCTCCTGGGGCAGCTAGGTTGATCTATCCCACTTCCTTTCCTGTTATTTCTACAAGCTTCCAAGTTCTTCTTCACGTGGAAGAACCTGGAGACCTTTAGAAGAAGTTGGATGCAAAGGTTGACACCGTAGGAAGTTATTCACGCTGCCTAACTTCAAGTCCCAAATTTAGATCTTTAGGAAGCTGGTCTCTTCTACACAGTCAACTGAGAGAGAGAAGTACTTCCCATCTTGGAGCACCTCTGGAAGAGCTCCTCTCGCTCCCTTGATTGGAAAAGCGATCTGGTGGGACTAGCTGCTGAATGTGACCTACTCAAAGTTAGGTTGCTTGGATACTTCCATGCCTGGTGTCATCTGCCCAGAGCTCAGTTTGGGATCTGACACAGTTCAGCTGTGACAGGGAATGTTCCTAAATTCAGTGCCAAGTGAGCATCTTGCTCTTCCTCCTCATCCACTCATCGGTTAAATTGATGGTTTCCTACTTCAGTTACGGTACCAGAAGAATGGTTTGAAAAAGGTGTTGCTGAAAATTCTCCTTCCCTTCTAGTTCTACACGCTGACATTTAACCACTCATTAAATGGGACCGAGATATTGTCGTCTTAGAAAATTTTTAGATGTGGATTTTCTAGACAAATGTTGTTTTTGCGTGATTTCTCCCCGAGAGGTGACTGAGCAGGACTCTCAGACTTCTGAGATGGTCTAAATGCTACAGAAATGAGGAAATCTGGGATCAGTCCTGGGGAAGTGTCCGTGTTCCAACTTGATGAGTTCATCCTCACTTCTAGGAGTGCTTTATCATAGCTCTGGGTTTTATTGCAGTGGAATTTGGGGGATTACAGTTCCTTCTACGTTTGTGATTTGATGCCAGAAGAGACAAACTAAACCCCCACAACCTCTAAAGCCAGGATTATGAACCGAAGCCGTGTCCTCGCTACCTGTAGGAGTAGGTATTGATCCTTTATGGAGCTGCAAAGCAAAATAACAGCCAAAAAACCCATCAACAGAGGAAGACCACATCACCTATGGGTTTTTCCCTACCTTTTTGGGGACTGGAGTTTGTGCCCCACCTCTGTAGCATGGACCTGTTCCCCGGGTGTTGGTTTATCTAATGGGTTGCCCAAGGTTGGTTGCTCCTGGGGGCTTCCAGGATCATCGTGATCCTTAGAGCCCTGTGCTGTCCTTAGGCATTGTGTGGTGCTACGATATTGCATTTATAGAATCATAGAATTGTTTGGGTTGGAAGGGACCTTCAAGACCATCTCCTTCCAACCCCCTGCCCTGGGCAGGGACACCTCCCACCACACCAGGTTGCTCCAAGCCCCCTCCAACCTGGCCTTGAACCCCTCCAGGGATGGGGCAGCCACAGCTTCTCTGGGCAACCTGGGCCAGGGTCTCTTATTAATGACAATGAGAGCCATGGGGGGGAAAAATCACATATTTTTTTAGATGTCTTGATTAAAATCAAGAAAATCCCAAAAGTTTGTATTTTAGGCAGAGCTGGGAGATTTCTCTCAGCTCCTCAGAGCGTTGTTAATTTGCCATTTGTCTACATTTCTGATGGTTTGAGGCCGGATTGATGTTTTTTTCCTTTTTCCCAAGTTTTGGTCGTTAACATCCTGGCTAAATGGCCTCTCTCGGGCTGTCTCTAGGAGAGAGGGGAATGAATTTCTCTTTTCCCTACCACGTTCCAATTTTTCTACCAGGGAAAACACTGGAGCAAATAATGAGGAAAATAGATAACAAGGAACGAGCGGAGTCCGTCCGACTTTGGCTTAGGGCAAGGCAGCACAAGGTCTCATTTCTGAATAATGCGAGCAGACAGCAGCTCTTATAAGAACTGAGTGGTGCTCCTGAAACAGAAATTCAGATCTTATTGAGCCTCTTGGGAGGTTTTGTTCTCCTGTGCACGCTTTGATGGTTTGGAGCTATCTGATACTCGCCTGCTAATTCTGCCTCTCCTGTTTTCAGCTCGTTGGTAGAAATGTGTTTTCAGTTGCTGCTCTCCTCTTCCGTAATTAGTGAAGGCAGAAAACTCTCGTTGGCCTTTTTCCCCTGGTTAGGGAGGAGAAAAAAAAAAAAAACCCAAGAAAAAGTCTTAAATCCTATTCAAAGGAATAAGCAACAAAATAAAAGAATAAAAAAAAAGCGCAGGTAGTATGTCATAATTCTCGATTTTTCAAGTGCTGCTGTTTTTACAGTGATTTGTTTGAACACGCAGCTTATCTGGGAGGATTTGTGGCCAAACTGACCACCATCCCCAGCAAATAATGTCTGATCTTCTCTACGGCTTCCAAAGAGAAAGCAAGAACGAGGGATAAACATCTTTTGTCATTTAGGTTTGTTTAGTCCAAGCGCCTGCGGCTTAAATATTTGATTTGACGTTACGGCGGGTCTGGAGATATCTGTATCTCCTCCTGATAGGCATAAAAATTCAGCATCCAACAGGAAAAATAAAGGTTAGAAAAAGAAAGTATTTGGATGAAGGAATTGCTGGTTTCCTGGATAAAAAAATGTAGAATTCACCCTTTCAGACCCAAGGCTGTAGATGAACTTGCCGTGGAAATGAAGGAATAGTTGAGCCTTCAACCCCAACAACCAAAGAGTTGGTTTGTAGGTGCTTAATGTGTCTAAAAGGTGGGCATGAAGTTTTAGCTTTTGAATAAGTAGAAGATGCTCCACCAGTTTCCTGTCCTTCTGGAACTGGGGAGCCCAGAACTGGTCCCAGTCCTCCAGCTGGGGCTTCCCCAGGGCAGAGCAGAGGGGCAGGATGACCTCCCTCCACCTCACACTCTTCCTGATGCCCCCCAAGATGCCATCATGCTCTGTTACTTAGCAATAGTGTAATTACTCTGATTAATTATTATTATTTTATTTAATTATGGGTGATATTTGGATGGATTGGGGGGAAAAAAGATATTTTCTTGTTTGGTAAATAGAATTTGTGAAGGTGTTATTTATTAAAGTCAAATTTGAAGACAAGGCCCAGCAGCATGAGGGCGTGTAGACGTGCCATCATCTGCCCATGAGTATCCTCAGAAGGTAAATTCCTCATTACACAAGGGGTTTATCCCAACCAACTACCGTTGCTGAGGTCACTTGATAAGCCAGCTCTAGTCTGACCTTTTTTAACAAAAAAAAAATGTTAAATTTAAAATGCTTATTAGTAATCCTGCGGAATGAGCCGTGTGTTGCCTCTCTCCCCTCGATAAATCTGATTAGTGCTGAAGTAATCTCTTGCATAATAATAGAAATGTCAGTTTTCCTACGTTAGAGCAGCTTCTCTGGTTGGGAATCAAGATGGATGATGGATGGACGGACATACAGTGTGTCCTCCTAGCATGAGGCTGGTCTCAAAATCAATGCAATCACTAGAGAAATTAATTAATATCTACTGAAGAAGAGCTGTGTGCTCTGCACGCCCTGGCTGGTGGCCACGTTAGGGTTTGCCTTTATTAAATATGCAGAAGACTTTCGGGGATTGGTTTTAGTACTTGGATTTGGAGCGTAGATTGAGTTGAGAACAAGGACCTTAAGAACATGATGAGGGTGGTGAGAGCCTGGCCCAGGTTGCCCAGAGAAGCTGTGGCTGCCCCATCCCTGGAGGGGTTCAAGGCCAGGTTGGAGGGGGCTTGGAGCAACCTGGTCTGGTGGGAGGTGTCCCAGGATGGAACTGGATGGTCTTTGAAGTCCCTTCCAACCCATTTGCAAATTTGGGGTTGGAGAGAAGAACAGGGTGTAGTTCACATGAAGTTTATCACCAATTCTACTCTCAAAATGCAGTTGATGCAGAATTTCAAACCAAAAGGGACTTTGTGGTGTTGGAACAAGCTTTGCGTTCCCGCTTTGAGATGTTTTATGCTAAATAGTGGAAATAGAGCTTTAATATGGAGTATTGTATCATCATCATCATCAATTACCAGTGAACCAAGAACTATTATAGATCCTAAACATCAGAGATGATGCACGCAACTGGAGGTTGCATCCAGGTTTGGTATTTTATAAACTTGTAGTTTTTGCTTTGGTTTTTTTGGGGGGACTCTTGTTCATTTGTTCAGTTGATTTGATTTTCTTTAATTCCATGAAAGACGTCGCTTTCCTCTCCTGCCTTCAACCCACTTTGTGAGGAAAAAAGCCAACCCCAACTGTCTCCTCACTACTATGGTTCATGAAGTTGTCTCTTAAAGCAGAAGACAATTCCCTTGCGTGGGACTCAAGGCAGCAGCGAGAGAATTTAAGGGAAATTAATCAAATGGAATTGCAAATACATTTTATATATACAGAAAATAATATAACACTAAAAGAAAAGGGAATACGTAATTGAAACCCCCCCCTCCCCAGCAGTTTGATTAGAAAGAAATGAGAAAGAAGATGTAAAAATTGGAGCAAGGGATCCGATAATAGTCATTATGAATTAAAAACCAGGAATCAGAGACATGGAAGATGTCAAGAATTTGTAAAGTTCAGGGTACAGTTTTTTTCAGAAATAATATTTATTATGAACGGGTGAAAGTGGTAGAACTTGTTTCAGTAATTACAAGGCAGAAGAGTTAAAAATAAGCCCAACTAATGTTTGAAGATCTACGTGCTTGTATGTATAATGTGGTATTTTTATATATATATAAAAAAAAAAATAAACAATTTAGTACAATCTTGACAGGAGTGGCTTAAAAAGCTTGTCCAAACCCAGATGTTTTCAGGTCATTATATCCAAATAAAAACGGAGCTGAGAAATTCTCAGGACCATTAACTCCTGCCTATAAATTTTGAATACTGAAGCTTCCAGCGGTGTGGAACGAACCACCCAACCCTTGAGGGTCTTCAAGACACAGAAGGCGTCTTCAAGACACAGAAGGCATCTTCAAGACACCAAAGAATAGGATGGGACCATACAATTAAACCAATTAATACCCGTGTATGAAAACAGAGGATGCCAACATAATTTTGACGATGATTGGTATCGTTATAGTAGATTTTGGGGAGGATTTCTTGCCTTGCTGCTTTCTCTCAATTTTCAGGGGAGGGGATAATGTAGCTGTGGAGCAATTCCTCGTTCTATTTCAATTTTGCCTCTGAAACTTTAATGCTTAGAGAAAAAGCATCCTCGTTTTTGCCTTGTAAATCCAAACCAGCAGTGTCCCTCCTCTCCCCCCGCAGTAATAAATCTTATCTCAAAGAACAAGGTAAAGGGTTGTAAATATTTTTGTCTTCATTATGGATGAGGAAACGGAGCATCTCGCAAGAAATCATCGTTAAAGCTGGAAGGAGGACCCCTGATGTATAGTCTCACGTTCCAGCAGCGACTTGGCACAGTTTTCCTTGCACTTTCCTTAATGTCTTTTGAAGTTAGTACAGGAAGAAGAATGATCCTCACGTCCCCGACGTGTATCGGTGCCGACGTTCCGATCGTTGCGTGTCCTTATTATTTAGATGCTCCTGGTCCCGTCGTGGCCCAGAGCTCTGGGCTCCAGGTTTTGGGGAGGAGGAGGAGGATGGAAGGGCTGAAGCAGAAAAATGCTAGGACAAAAAAAAAAAAAAGCAAAATCCCAAAGTTGTAACTACAACCAGGTTATATATTTTAATGAATTCTGTATTTTGAGAGATGGGTATCGTTTTAATGACGGACTTAACGCCGTCACGCACAACCCTGGCTTTCTCGTTGGGATTAAGCCAAGTTTTTCTCCTCGAGAGCCCAAGAGCTGGGTCTGTAGGGCTGAATCCCAGCAAACTTCATTTTTTTGGGAAGATGGAAATGAATGGCATCATCTTGAGTTCCGCTTGGTGGGAGAATAAACGCATCCCCAGCTCTTATCGATGCCCATCGACCCAAATCTGAGGGCTTGTTGCCAAAACGATCGGGGATTGATTATAAAATTTGCTGGTAAAATGTGCCAGAAGCTCTGCCTTGAACATAAGAATGAGAAAAACCTAATTTGGGACCTTTCCCTGCTGCAGAATAGATAGATGTCCTTAGTTAAATCACAAAATATCTCAATTACTCCTTGAGTATCTCTAAAAAGGAGATGAAAAGACTCATCCTAATAAGGCTTTGTGAAAGTATGTATTTTTTTGCAAATAGTAAAGAATTCTCAGATATCAGCGTAATGGGGAGCATCGAAATCATCTACTCGTTTGCAAATCCTATTTGTGGTTTTTGCATTTCAACTACGTGTCATTGACTTAACGAGGAAGGGAAAAGACGTGTGTAGCCGGACGTCGTTACTGCGCTCGAGAAAAATGCTAAATACAAAAGGAGAGGTTTTGCTTTGTTTGGGGAAAATAACTTCTTCCAGCTCACTGCTTTATAATTGGATTCGAGAACGAATCTGTTCATTCTTGGACGTTATTATGTAAAATAGAATCGACAAAAGCCGACAACGCGATGGGTTCAGGACAACAGGGAACGGGCACAAAGTTGAACATCAGAAGTTCCACCTCAAGATGAGGAGGAACTTCTTTGCTGTGAGGGTGGCAGAGCCCTGGAAGAGGCTGCCCAGGGAGGTGGTGGAGTCTCCTTCTCTGGAGACATTCCAACCCCACCTGGACACCTTCCTGTGGGACCTGCTCTGGGTGGACCTGCTTTGGCAGGGGGTTGGACTAGATGATCTCCAGAGGTCCCTTCCAACCCCACATCATCCTGTGATTCCGTGGGAAGTCAACATAGCACCATAGGATGCAGATGGTGAGGGGGTCAATAGTATGAAGGTGGGAACATCTCGCTCCACATGGACCCACTTGAGGAGTTTCCTTGAAAAGCTAAACCTGGAGAAGACCAAGAGATGTCCCATCACCTCCCCGCGGATGTGACCTGTGAGTTTAAGCCCCAAAGACCACGTTGCTGTGTAAGAGATGAAATCACAGCTGAAATGAAGTCGGTGACTCCAACGGAGCTGGGGCTTCATGCAAAGAATGTCTCATCTGCTGAAGCTGGCCCATAGTTGGTTGATTATGTGGACTCCATTATGGTGTACAAGTACCTTGTCGGGGAGAACACACCAAGTGCTCTTTAATCAAGTGGAGAAGGGCTTAACGAGACCTTGGATCTCTTCATAATCACGGGGTGTCTTCTTGAAGGACGCACTTCATGGAGACAGGCTTTTGAGCTCCGGGTGGGTGTGATTCTGGGTCCTGGCTTAGACAAGAAACAAGATTTAACGGCCTTTTGGTCTTAAAATCAGCTCATTCATTTTTCCTTCCTAATGTAAAACATCTAATTTGCTGGACTGATCTCTTTTTATTTCTCAGCTGGAAATAACTGGTTGCACTGGTGCAACAGCAAGGAGTTTTATCAGATAAATTTGAGCCCAAAACCAGATATTTCTGTGCGTTAGGATTTTTGCAACTTCGTCTACGATTCAGCTCCGAAATGCCATTTATTTTGGATGTATTTGAAGAACCCTTTCAGCCAAATGTATTCTCCTAAAGCCTTCGCTTTCAATTATCAATCATCTCCCTTTTCGAACTCGAAATTTAATCTTCATGGATGTCATTCCCCTTATATTTTTATTGCTCTGCTTTTTACTGCTTCTGCCAGCTTCTATCCTAACCAGGATCGTTATTTTAATCGGAGACGACCTCTTTGTGATTCCAGAACTGAGTGCTTTTGAAGGGAAAGGAGACTCTCCCATATTAAAATCTGGATATTATTTTTAGTTTGTGATTTGCTTTCTGGTTTTGCACAGCTGTTTTCATCCTCCAACAACTCACCCCTTTTCTACTATGGAATTTGGATGTTTGTGTTGGGAAACGAGGCGTCGTGTTTAATGGCCGCGCTCCAGCACGTTTGGGTTCAACATCTGGGAGAAGAAAATGAAGTCATTTTCAAGAGAAGGAATAGTTAAAAAACAAGCCCAACTGGTTTTCTGGGCTCTGTTTGCTGGCATTTCAGATGCAAGAGGTGGGATTTGGGTGTAGGTCGTCACCTGAAGGTCAGGTGGTGATGCCCTCATGGCAGTCAGCGGCGGAGATTTAGCCCATCCTGAAGCAGGACACCTTCAGTCAGGCAAAGGAGTGCTCATCTTTCTACTTATTCCTTCCCAATTTCGATTTTTCAAGTTATTTTGTTCTTTGCTGTCTGTGCTTTCCAGACTTGAAGCTTTCCTTGTCTTCTCTCACCTGCCATATTTATGAACTCACCTCTTGTGACTCCAAAATACCGTCGTTAATCCAGCTCTTCACCTCATTGTGTATCTCTCTCTCTCTCCTCGCCTTCTCCTCTTTTTCCTCTGGCTTTCCAAGACCTGACTTTAATACCAGGCTATAAACAGCCCTTTCTCACTTTTTCCCCAAAAGCTGGTATTTTTTCAACCCTCAAATTGCTCCCTTGGGTTCGATCTGTAAGCGGCTCCGCGATTGCCATTTGATACACTTTTTATATTTCTCTGCTGTGATTTTTTTCTCTTTTAGCCATCAGTAAGAATCTGTGAAAGCTGCGCTCTCCGGGGTCCCTTATTGATCAGTCCTTTTCTATTTCCCCATCCCCACCAAAAAAGGATGTTTTGTTTTGTTTTGTTGGTTGAAATGGATGATGACTGGCTCCTTTTTGCTCTCGTAGATCCAGGTTTGCACAGGCAGCAGTTTTTCCTCCAACGCCCGTCCAACGTGGTGGCCATGGAAGGGAAGGACGCCGTTCTGGAGTGCTGCGTTTCGGGGTACCCACCTCCCACCTTCACGTGGCTGCGAGGAGATGAAGTCCTCCCCCTCAGGTAGCTCAGACCTTCGTGGGTGGCATGGCCAACGCTATATTTCCTTAGGAAAAATACCTCTAAACCACCAAATAATGCTTTAAATTCAGGGGGGGGATTTGGAGGCCATGAGATTTTCCGCCTCGTGATGGTCATCTATGTAAGGTTCTTCTAGGACTTTCTAGAAAGAGGCAGAATAAGAGAAGAGGGAAAAAATTATATATATATAATATCTTTTAGAAAGAGGCAGAATAAGAGAAGAGGGGAAAAAATGATATATATCTATAATATAATAATTAATAGAAATGTTTATTAATAGGAATATAAATATTTCACTCCAACAATTGTCTCTGCATGCAATTTTGGGGAAGGAAGAAGAGAAAATAGAGATGGGGAGCAGCTCTCGCTGCGGTTTTTAGCCAGGAAAGGTTTAAGATGGAGATTGGGAACAATTTCTTCATGGAAAAGGTTGTCAAGCCTTGGAAGAGGCTGCCCAGGGAAGTGGTGGAGTCACCATCTCTGGAGGGATTTAAAAGTTGGGCAGATGTGGTGCTGAGGGATATGGGTTAGTGGTGGGTTGATGGTTGGACTTGATGATCTGAAAGGTCTCTTCCAACCTGGACAATCCTATGATTCTATAATAATGTTTCTCTTCTCTTCTCTGCTGCAATAACTCATCCAGGTCCAGAAAATATTCCTTACTGGCCGGCAGCAACTTGTTGATATCCAACGTGACCGACGACGATTCGGGGACGTACACCTGCGTGGTCACCTACAAAAATGAGAACAGCAGTGGCTCGGCGGAGCTCTCGGTGATGGGTGAGTACAAGAATCACTCACTTTGCTGCTTTTCCCCTTCCTGAAGTCGTATTTTTGGCGTTACAACGGGGGCACCCCGTTGTAACGCCAAAAATACGACTTCAGGAAGGGGAAAAGCAGATGTCCCCGTTGTAACGCCCAAAATATGACCTCAGGAAGGGGAAAAGGGGGTGTCCCCGTTGTGCCCCGTGAGGGCAAGAGGTTGAAAATCTGTTTTGTAGCTACTTTTGGATGTATTTATTTTTTTTTTTAATTCATGAGAAGTCGATATGGTAAGAGAAGAAAAGAAAAATCAATGTATTTAGCACCCTCTCGCCCAATTATCAAAAAATCCAAGTAAATTTATGGAAGTCCTCGCTCAGCAGCGACGCTCGGAGGGTTCCCCCTCTTAAATCCTGCTTTTCCCCCTCTTAAATCCTGCTTTCCCCCCCAATTCCTTCCCGATGGCAAACATTAATGGAATCCAAAATACGTATAAATTCAGTAGTTGCCTTTTTTTTCCCTTTTTTTACTTTATTTTTAAGAAGAACAGCGGAGAACGTTAGCGTTATTCAGAGAGATCTAAAGAAGGACGTGGTTAATACTCAGTCAAATATTAATATATTTCCCTGTGTTGTTCATTTTACATTCTGGCTTTAAAGCTCCTGCGTTAAAAAATACCTTCATTAGTGAACAGAGCCTTAATTTGCATCACAGGATATTGGGTGCTTGTATAACAATATCCTTTTATCAAGCCGTAATAAAAGATAATAATTAGCAGTGATGGAGGGTTCAGTTGGCTTTCTTTAGGTGCATTAATGAAACATATTGTTTTACGGGGTAAAAATGAAAAAAAAAGGTGGTTTTATAATTGTGGGAGTTGGTTGATTATGGAATTGTTTTCTTTGTAAGGGATCAAATATTGAAAAGGCAGGTGAGTTGTTGGGCAGAATATTTTATTTGCTTTCCTGAAATACGTTGATTTTTTGGTTGATTATGAAATTGTTTTCATTGTAAGGGATCAAATATTGGAAAGGCAGGTGAGTTGTTGGGCAGCATATTTTATTTGCCTTCCCGAAATCTTGAAATACGTTGATTTTTTTAAATCTTGTGTGTGGTGGGTGAATAATTGCTGTCGGAGAAGTAGAAATAAATCAGATTAATATTTCCCCCCAAAAATAGATTGCGATATCCCTGGGTAAGAGCCACTGGATTAGGGCCTAGATAATTTCTGACCATGTAGGTCCCAGGAAGATTAAGAGGAATTTTAGAATCTGAGTTCTTTATGTACCTTTTAAAAGTATATTCCTGTTTGTGTTCAGTCTGTAACCCATCTACCTTTGGCTGGAAGGGTGATGAAAATCTCTAAGAGGAGAAGACAACACCAAGAGAGTGCCAAGGGTGAAATCAGACCCATAGGAAAGATGGAAGATGTTGGTCTTGAGGAGAAGGTGGCCATAAAGAGAATTCTCCAAATTAATAAGAATAATTAATTCTCCTAAAGAGGATAGTTAATTGATATTTTTAATTTTCATTCTACAAATGCAGATATTTCTGAGTTTCCACAGAGCCCATACGCTCGTTGATTTACCAAACTCTGACTTTCTTGTCAGCTTTTTGTTGCAAACCTCCCATTTTTTGGAATTTTGATGTAATCCTTTAATTGTTAATGTATCCGTGGGGTGAAGGGGGGATGGGTAAGTGAGCTTTTTGCAGTCAGAGCCCAACAAAAATTGAACAGCCCCATAATGATCTCCTCTGAAGGGTTGAGTAGACGACATCAGATCAAAGGTAGTTACAGCACGTGGTTCCGAGATGCTTTTGATCTTTTAAATAATGAGCCTGTTTGCAAGAAAGGGAGAATATTTCACAATGGAGTTCCTGGGAGTTCTCTTAAAAGAGCTAAAAATAACCCCTCCTGTGTCGGGCACCCGCCTGAAATTGCAAGAGGTGAATTTGCCAGAAAAGGTAATATATTTCGATAAATTTTAATTGTTTCTCCTGGCCTTTTGGCAGTGTTTTAGCCACGTCTTCCTGTGTAATGAAAATGAAGAGGTCAGGTGCAGATTACCCTGGTTGCTATATAAATTGGAGCAGATTAGCCTTTTTGCTTTATAATTCGGCGTGGATTACCCTGGTGGCTATATAATTCACTGCAGATTACCCAGTTGCTGTATTAATTCGTGCAGATTACCCTGGTTGCTGTATAAATCAGTGCAGATTACCTGGTTACTATATAAATCGGTGCAGATTACCTTGGTTTCTGTATAATTCAGTGCAGATTATCCTGGTTGCTATATAATTCAATGCAGATTATCCAGTTGCTGTATAAATTGGTGCAGATTACCCTTTTTTCCTTTATAATTCAGCGTGGATTACCCTGGTTGCTGCATAAATCAATGCGAATTACCCTGGTTTATCAGTGCAGATTCCCTGGTTACTCTATAAATGGGCGCAGATTACCATTTTCCTTTATAATTCAGCGTGGATTACCCTGGTTGCTGCATAAATCAATGCGAATTACCCTGGTTTATCAGTGCAGATTCCCTGGTTACTCTATAAATGGGCGCAGATTACCATTTTCCTTTATAATTCAGCGTGGATTACCCTGGTTGCTGCATAAATCAATGCGAATTACCCTGGTTTATCAGTGCAGATTCCCTGGTTACTCTATAAATGGGCGCAGATTACCATTTTCCTTTATAATTCAGCGTGGATTACCCTGGTTGCTGCATAAATCAATGCGAATTACCCTGGTTTATCAGTGCAGATTCCCTGGTTACTCTATAAATGGGCGCAGATTACCATTTTCCTTTATAATTCAGCGTGGATTACCCTGGTTGCTATATAATCCAGTGCAGATTACCCAGTTGCTGTATTAATTGGTGCAGATGACCCTGGTTACTGTATATATCAGTGCAGATTACCTGGTTACTATATATATCAGTGCAGATTATCTTGGTTACTATATAATTCCGTGCAGATTACCCTGGTTGCTATGTAAATTGGCGCAGATTATTCTGGATTCTATATAAATGGGTGCAGATTAGCCTTGTTGCTATATAAATCAGAGCAGATTATCCTGGTTGCTATATAATTCAGTGCAGATTATCCAGTTGCTATATAAATTGGTGCAGATTACACTGGTTACTATATAAATTGGAGCAGATTACCCTGGTTACTATGTAAATCAGTGTAGATTACCGGGTTACTATATAAATTGGTACAGATTACCTCGGTTACTGTATAATTCAGTGCAGATTACACTCGTTACTATGTAATTCAACGCAGATTACTCTGGTTTCTATGTAAATGGGTGCAGATTACCCTTGTTGCTATATAAATCGGAGCAGATTATCCTGGTTGCTATATAATTCAATGCGGATTATCCAGTTGCTATATAAATTGGTGCACATTACCCTGATTACTATGTAAATCAGTACAGATTACCCTTGTTACTCTATAATTCCGTGCAGATTACCTTGGTTACTGTAAAATTCAGTGCAGATTACCCTCCTTACTATGTAAATCGGCGCAGATTACCCTGGTTGCTGCATAAATCAATGCAGATTACCCTGGTTATTATGTCAATCAGTGCAGATTACCCTGGTTTATCAGTGCTGGTTCCCTGGTTACTCTGTAAATTGGTGCAGATTACCCTTTTTTCCTTTATAATTCAGTGTGGATTACCTTGGTTGCTATATAATTCAGTGCAGATGATCCAGTTGCTGTATTAATTGGTGCAGATTACTCTGGCTACTGTATATATCAGTGCAGATTACCTGGTTACTATATAAATTGGTGCAGATTACCTTGGTTACTGTATAATTCAGTGCAGATTACCCTGGTTGCTGTGCAAATCGGTGCAGATTACTCTGGTTTCTATATAAATCGGTGCAGATTACCCTTGTTGCTATATAAATCAGAGCAGATTATCCTGGTTGTTATATAATTCCATGCAGATTATCCAGTTGCTATATAAATTGGAGCAGATTACCCTGGGTACCATATAAATCAGTGCAGATTACCCTTGTTACTCTAATTCAGTGCAGATTACCCTGGTTACTATATCAATTGGTGCAGATTACCCTGGTTTATCAGTGCAGATTACCTGGTTACTCTATAAATGGGCACAGATTACCCTTTTTTTCTTCATAATTCAGCGTGGATTACCCTGGTTGCTATATAATTCACTGCAGATTACCTGGTTACTCTATAAATGGGCGTAGATTACCCTGGTTACTGTATATATCAGTGCAGATTACCTGGTTGCTATATAAATCGGTGCAGATTACCCTGGTTGTTATGTAAATCAGTGCAGATTACCCTGGTTACCATTTATGTAATTAATCTACTTGCTCCGTCGAGAATTTAGTGTTAAAAGAAATGTTTGAAGATGATTAAATGTGTCAAATAGAATTATTTTCTAAATATTTTCTCGCTTTCCGAAGTGTATTTTGGGCTTGTTCCCTTTTGGCTTCTGAGGGGTTTTTTTATATAGCTTTTTTTATTTCATGTTTTAATTGAGACTCAAAGTCTGCTTAGTTTAATTAGCAGAGAACCTCCCCTATCCCAACGCCCTAAATGTCCTGAAAGTGACCTAAATCCAGAAAAAAAGGTTTCCATCCCCTTATGCCTTTGAATCGAGCGGTTATTCTTAAACAAATTAAGATTGAGGTCACATATTTTTATTTTCCTTTTATTTTTATTTTCCTTTTTCTAAAATGTCTTTTGAGGAGGAACAGAGAGGGGAACAGATTTCAAACCAGGAATGCTGGTTTGAGAGACTTTTAGGCTTAAAGTAAGAGAAAGCAGTAGGAAAAAGCAAAAAAAACCCAAAAACCTGGATCTGAAAGACAACGTAGGCAGAAAACTCACTGTTGCTGACTTTTGCCACCCATCCATATGTATAAGTTCTGTTGTTGTTGTTGCCAAACTGTAATTTGGAAGCGTTTGTTGGTTGTTTTTTTTCTATGCAAATGTCTTTTACCCGAGAGTTTTTAATAAGAAGTGGTTTAAGG